AAAAAAAAAAAAACAGTAAGCAGGTCCCATTCTTCACTGCTGGCCTAAAGCTATCCAGATGCTTGAAAGAATGAGGAAGTGAAAGTCACTTTCCCCGAATATCCCAGAGCACAAAGGAGGGTGAATGGTTGTAGTTTTTCTTGTGATATCTTGTGTATGTGTACATATAAATTTAATGAGAGTATATGCATGTATGGGGGTGGGTGTCAGTGTGTGTGGATGTGCGAGCACTCTCAAAAGTGTGTGTGATATGTATTTGTGAGTGTATTTAGACGCAGATGTGCTTATGCCATGGTACATGTGTGGAGATCAGAGGACAGCTCTGTGGAGTTGATTTTCTCCTTCCACCCATACATGAGCTCCAGGCATGGGATTTGGGTCATCAGGCTTGTGAAATGAGTGCTTTTACCCGCTGAGCCGTCTCTCTGGCCCCAGGAACTGTCTTTTTGGTGTTTGCTGCTCATCTGCTAGGTTCACAAGCTTCCAGAGATTCTCCTGCCTCCATCTCACACCTCATCATAGGAATTCTGGGATTATAGAGCTGTGCTACCATGCTAGGGTTTCCATGCATTCTTGGGCTTCAAGCTCAGATCTTCACATGTGTGTGACAAGTACCTCACATGGAACCCTTTCCCAAGCTCTTCCTGGTGACTCTTAAGACTTAATTTCTCTGTTTCCTTTTAAGTTTGATCACTTTCAGACACAGGTGACAGAAGGAAAAACATTTGTCAGATTGGATATGCTTCTGTTGGGAAAAAACCAGCTCAGAGCAGACCTCAGAAGAAGCTCCATTAGGGCCATAAACTGCAAGGAAAGAAGAGCAGAGCAAGAAGAAGACAATGAACCAAATGCTCTTAACTACACAAAACTAGGTCCATTGCGAACTGCAAGGAAAGAAGAGCAGAGCAAGAAGACAATGAACCAAATGCTCTTAACTACACAAAACTAGGTCCATTGAATCGTACATAACTACCCACTATCTCTGTTGTAGTTCCATAGTCCAGATACAGCCATCTTTCCAACCCCCAAACTGGTTTGAAACAACAACCATTACACTGGCTTGTGACTCTATGAACCAACAATTTGGGCTGGGCACAGTTGAGTGGTTCATCTGTTGGTTTCTCTTGATGTCCTTCTTCACGTGTAAGTTATTAGTCTGTCATTATTCTTTTAGTCACTTTCACATGCGAGATGCAAACAAAAGAAACCTGTTTGTTCTCACTTTACAAATGGGAAAACAGGACTGGAGGGATTAAGGGTGAGAACAAAGGTCACAGGAATCTTGATTCAAGCCTACCAGTCTTGTTGCCAAGCTCCTGCTTTTTCTACTCTCCAGTGTTTCCAAGAAGAAAACAGTAAGAGCTGAGTTGGGGTGAGGGTGGATAGTGTGCCTAGCTACCAGGATCTCCCAAAGAGAAAGTGTATGTTAGAGATATATTTGTAAGGAATACTTCCCAAAGTGTGTATCAAAAAATCACACACACAAACACACACACACACACACACACACACGGATGTGGGGAGGTTCCTATCAGTGGGTAAATTTGAACTGTTTCCTTTCCCAAATGATACCTCAGAAATTTTAGTGTGTTTACAGAATACCATGAATGTCTCAGGGAAGGATATAGTATGCCATTAGTCAGATGATGCCCTAGGCTACTGTAACAAAGTGTCCCTAAAGTACATAAGTAAAGTGCAGGGTGGAGTTCATTTCTCTTTCGTGCATCCAAACCAGAGCAGTGATCCAAGGCTAGCAACCTCAGTTCATTTCATCCAAGATGGTGCCTAGCTCTTAGGTTTCTCAAGCAGGGCAAGGTGGGCTAGACAACGCTAAACAATCTGGTGCCTACACTACTCTGTGCTTCATTCCACTGGCCTGAATTTGACCGTATGGACTACTATAGTTCAGAACTATAACCTACAGTATTACTGAAAGGTCATTGTGTTAAAGGTTTGTCACTCAGAGTGGTGCTATTAGGAACCTTTAAGAAATGGAGTGTAGTAGATGCTGGGTCATTGAGACCATTCCCTGGAAGGGTTTTGAAGATCCAGTGTATCCTTTTTATCCCCAGCCATGAAGTGCATATATTTGTTTGCTTTGTTATTGCCTTCTTACAAGTCCACCAGTGGCTTAAAAGCAATGTGTCTGATCATGGACTGAAACTCCTAAAGCTGTGAGCCAAAATAAACCTTTCTTCTTCATAATTGGATCACCTTAGGTATTTGTTATAGTCGTAGAAAGCAGATCAGCTCCTAGATACAACCAGATACTAGAGAGACTGGGAAAGGCAATCTTCAGTTAGATGTCTAAGTGTCTGGCTGAACCCTTGAATCAAGACTCCTGTGTTATATTATTAAGATTCATAAAGGGTATGCAAACACCAAGTACCACCAGTACCACTCAAATGTGTTTATCCACACAAATATATATATATATGTATGTAATATCTCTCAAGACTTGTGTCTTACTATGTATATCATCAGCCAGGATAGGAGAGTTAATCATGCAGCAACAACAGCCCCCCCCACTAAAACAAAAGATCAGCTGTTGGGCTCTTATACATATCCACGGGGAGATAGAAAAGCTGACTACCCTTCTCTTTGAGAATAAGTTTGATGATCAAGCTTGAGTTTATTTCTTGGAGGACGATCGACAACACAGATTAGACATGAGCCATCCAGCTAAGATCCACCAAGATCATCTCAGCCAACCTCAGCCTAACTGAAAGCATGCAATGGACCCAGGTGAGCCAAGCCCAGGCTAATGACTCACAGCTAGGTAAATGTTTGCTTTACGCTCATGTTTAGGGTGTCATAATACATGCAAAAGCTGGTGTAGTTATTTAAGCTTAAAGGGGATTTACTAAAAGGTTGTATCCTTGAGAGACACAGACACCCTATGCCTTTGCCCAAATCACACCATGGGAACTGTTTTGTCAATTATACTACTGTGCCTGCCATGGGGGACATTACTGCAGCTGTACCCTGACCTAGGCTCTAGCTGCTGCCACAGGGCATAATGGCCCCAGGAAAGTAGACTGACCTGTTATTGCTGCCACCTATCCGCAGAAGCAGGTCATACGCTGGTGAGTCATTCTATGAAAAAGACACAAAGGCAAGGGCACTGAGCCAACAAAGCCATAGACCCAGGCACAGGAGCCCCTCTCTGGTACTCATCATTCACCTGTTCATAGAGTATAAGGAGGTTCAGCACAGAAATCCCAAGACATGGGCAACATCTTGTCAGCAACCCTCATTGTGCCATTTCAGTACTTTAATACCAATGGCAGCACCTCAGTGCAAGCTGGCTTTCTCTGCTAACTCAGTTTTATTGCAAGATGCAAACATGAATATGGTCTGTCCCCTCATATTGCTACAAAAAAGACTGAGAGAAGAGACCAGAACTTCATGTTTAACTTTAGGTTTATTATTATGGAATTTTAGTTTAAGATGTGTTACATTCGTTTATGCTGTGGAATATTTGTTTAATGATGCAAAGATGTCTTACATTCTTTTATGTTGCCTTTGTTTGTTTAACTCTGTAAAGTTGTGCTACTTTGCCTGCCTAAAACACCTGATTGGTCTAATAAAGAGCTGAATAGCCAATAGCTAGGTAGGAGAGAGAAAGAGGTGGAACTGGCATATGGAGAGATTAAATAGGAGGAGAAATCTAGGCTGTAGAGGGAGTGAGGAGTGAGAAAAGGAGAAGGAGAGGAGGACTCCAGGGGCCAGTCACAATGTAAGAAGGAAAGAAAGATATATAGAATAAAGAAAGCTAAAAAGCTCAGAGGCAAATGTAGTTAAAGAGAAACAGGATAATTTAAGTTAGAAAAGCTGGCTAGTAATAAGCCACAGTAAGACCAGCAAGTCTCTATGCATTTATTTGGGAGCTGGGTGGTGGGCCCCCAAAAGAGAAAAAAAAAACTACAGCTAATTATTGTGACAGTTTCCAGGCACTTGGCAGCAGTGTCTTGCCTATCAAAATCTATAAGTCACCATAGTTTTCTTAACAAAAAAAATTGTGCAATGAAAAACAAAATGATTCATTCCACTTTGGTAAGCTGGGTGGGCTGGGGCTTGGTCACCTTCTCTGGCTTGAAACATTTAACAAGAGAAAACTAAGACAGTACTAATGAGGAAGGCTTGAGGGAGACCTAGCAAAGCAATCTGTACCATTTGTGATACTCTCTGACCCTCTGGACATGCTCCATTCACTCCCTAATTATGACATAAAGTTAGGAAACTTGGGTGCTAGAAGGATTGATCATTAGTGTACCCTGAAAACAGCAATGTCCCAAGAGGCCCCAGGTAACCAGCCAACCAGTTTGCTTAGACTGGGTTTCGCAGGGAGTGGTACTTGCCATGCTAACACTGGCAAAGCCCCAGGAAAACCAAAGCAAAGTGGTCATCTGTACCAAGGCCAGTGAGTGCATGATCCATGTTGTGTTCCTTGGAAGGAGCTATGGAGAGCCAGAGAGTTCTGACTGAGGTAATACTGCTAATTCATTCATCTCTGTTCTTCAGCTGGCCATGTGTTTGAAATCCCTGTTTCAACCCTGTGACATGGCCATTGTTCTTCATTGTTCTTCAGCTGGCCATGTGAAGAAGAAATCATCATTTACAATGGTGACAATGGGCACCATAGTCTATCAAGCCCAGGACTAGGTGCTTTGCATGGACTCATTTACTTAATCTTTCCCACAGTCTAAGGAAAGAGGCAGTGCTATTATCCCCATCTTATAGCACAAACTGAGCCACATAAGAGATTTAGTAACTTGAAAATGTCACATCACTCTTAAGTCACAGACCTATGCCATTGTGCACAGTTATGCTCCATAATGTGTGATCCAATTGTCATGACAGGATGCCTGGCCTATGAATGGAGACTGCCTTGCGATTTCAACTCCAAATCTGAAGCCAGAAGACTTCTCTCACCCATCCACCATCCCAGATGAACTGCTGATTGTGCTGGCATCAAGCCTGAACTGAGAAAGGAACAGCTGTGCTATGCCTTAGTGGCATTTTTGTTTAAGAGGCTAAGTTTGGGGTTGTGAGACCATGGGGAATATCATGCTATAAGTTAGTAGAACTTGCTGCTCATCATTTCATGTCACTGTATCTCAGTTATCAGAGCCACAAGACTAGAAAGCTAGACCAATGATGAGTAGGCCTCCAGCTGGGATTTGGAGGATCAAATATTCACTCAGCAGTTTCAAGTCAACAGAAATAACTGGTTAGAATTTCCAAGGTAGTCTCCACACACAAAAGCAAAGCAAATCAGCCTGAAGGAAGGAACTGTAGTTCCTTTTAGCCTCTTTCCCCCCTGGCAATTTATTTCTAGGCTATTTTTTTTATATTAAAGCAAAACAAAAAACAGGATCTGCTGAGGGAAAAGAAGCAAGGAAGACTGTCTAGTTTGTCATTATAAACACCCTCTACCACCAAGGAACTTACTTCCTAACCCTCCAGCCCACACTGGGAAAAGGGCTTGTGTTTGCATTTTACCATTACAGGGAATGTTCAGTTTTTCCCCCCATTAACAGTGACACTTTCACTTCCTTTGCTGGGACCAAATGTCTCATACTCACAGCGGTGGACGACACTGCCTCTTTCCAGAACATCTCAAGACCTGGTTCCAGAGGAGCCTAGCTTGAGAGTTTCTTTTCGAGATGACTGGGTTATTCTACCCACAACTGTTGAGGTGAGTGACTATCATGGATACCTTTAATATGCTTCAGTTCAAAACTTATATATGTGCTACTGGGCTGGGAGCCCCGGGCTCCACACATAGTTAAAGTAAGCGGTCTGCCATGGGCTCCTGCTCTTGGCTCAATAAATAAGTAAATTCCTTTTCGATGTTCCTATCTCAGGATGTGTGAAATAGTCATTCCCTTTGCCATGAAATCTCTGCATAGAATGTTCAATGGCCTCACCTTCTCTCTGATGACCTTACATGACACGGCTGAAGATGGGGCACAGGCTGTAATAGTCGAGCTATCTGTTCTGGGAGCAAGCTTCTCCCTGGTTCCTGAAGCCAATAGCACAGCTACTGCTTCGGATCCCTTCACGTCACCTCATGCCCTCCTCACTCAGCCTCACAGACAAACACCAGGAGTTTTCTGGACCAAAGATGTCTATGGTCCCTCAGGGTGTTTGAAGTTCTAGATGTCTCATTTTCAATAAGTTTATCTCAAAATGCTGAGGAAGGTGGCTATTTGCCTACAACAAGCCACCTTCTTGAAGTACTTGAAGTTGCTGGGCTAAATGAGAGACCCAGAAGAGCTGACCTTGTATCTGCTGTCCTTCAAACATAAACTAGCTGTGATATTATAGCATTTTGTCCATTCATTCATTCATTCATTCATTCATTCATTCATGTGCTATACAATTACTGAGCACCTACTGTATACTGGGTATCTAGGAAACAAAGCAAGCATTACCCAAATCCTAGCCCTGGAGGCGGGGTGAGGGAGTAGAGTAAGAACACTTGAGAATGAGGGATGAATTATATACAGACATAGCAGGCAAGGGTGAGCTAGGAACATGAATTATGACTGCACATAAAATGATACCGGGATCTGCAGTCTGGACATGAGAAGGAGCGGGTGACAGACTCCTCTACTGGCCATCACTCTGATCGAGCCAAATGCCTATCTTTCAACATTGAAGTGGAGACATTTATGAAAGGCCAGGAAAAAATGAAGCTATATTTTAAACAGTGGAAAATAAAATCAAAAAAGGAAGTCTAAGACACAGAACAATGGCCCTCAGGAACATTTAAGGGCATCAGAGTGAGGTAGAGTTTAGTTAATGTGATTCAGATCTTTGTTGGCTACATCTTCACTAAACAATAATGCATAGAACCCTAAAATTTTCTGAAAATTAACCTTGGGGCTTTTGTTTTACATGATGTGTGTTTAAGAAAGAGACAGGGCTCCCCGAAGAACCCTTGCGGGCCACTCTGGAGCACAGACAGGCAGTCTCTGAGTTCAAGGCCCACCTTGTTCCAGCCAGGGCTACATAATAAAACCATCTTTGAGAGGTGAGGAGGGAGAGAGAGAGAGAGAGAGAGAGAGAGAGAGAGAGAGAGAAGGGAGAGGGAGACAGACAGATGTTCAGGCTGTGTTGAAACTAACACCATTAGCCTGCAGACAAATCCTCAATGCTTCATTTCCTTTAACCTCAGTTTTTCCCAGTCCAAAAATGAGGGTGACAATACTCTCCTTTGGAGCCCAAACACAGGGAACAGCAGGCAGGGGTATCTTAAATATAAATACCATGTATAAATCTGCCGTTACTAGGAAGCCTTTGAAAATTAACCATGTTGGTTAAAATTCACTCTCCACTCTAGACAACAAGTGTGCACAATAGAGTTGGGATTAGAACCACAGTGGGATTCTTATTACTCTTCACAAGACGTAAAAACAACCACACATTTTCCACACAAGAATTCTGCAATGAGGATGCGGGGAGAAGTCTCATCTCTAAGGAGGAAGGGCGCTTTGAACAGGCTTTCAGCAAACAGTTCCAAGGGGACTGTCCTGTTGTGGGTGACACAGAAGAGTATGAATAGCCAGATGTTCCATGTAATTCACCAGAGAGTCAGAGTCCAGGGCCCACGAAGGCAGAGGAAGAGTGAGTGAATCACGTGCTCTGCTCCCTCTGAGCTTGACAAAAGAGGAAACTGAGGCTAGAGAAAAGAGGCTATTTATCCCCCAAGAAGTCCCACAGTGAGGCACAGAGGGTAAGCCTGTCACCTGCCTTCTGCCAGGTGCGCGCGCGCATCTCCCAGTCTGTGCTGCTTGTATGTACTGCTTGGCTATAGGATCTCTGCAGTGTGTATGTGGGAAGGAACAGAGAGCAAGTCCCAAGCTGTCCGCCGAACCACAAAACCTTTAAGTAAAAGACTGTAAGGCAGAGAGGGGCTGGAATCAATATCTCAAGGTTCCTCCTATCCTTCTGCATTCATGATCCCATGCAAGAAACATGCAAACATGGGTGGAACTAAACATCTTGCCAGGTGGTGGCTTGTGATATATACAAACAGCTCCTGACTCACAAAGGCAAAGGACAAGAGAGCCCATACATCCAAACAGCTGCCGCCATCCGCCGGCCCCCACTACCCTGCAGCTGCCGTTAGCTGTGTGGAAAAAAAAAATGAAAATGAAAAAGGGAAAGAAAGGGACAGGAAAAAAATTCTTGGACCACTTGCAGATTCCACAAGTTAAGGCAGAGGAAGGAAGGAAGCTGTGGACACGGGAACTAAAGAAAGGAATGAACTCTTGGGATTCATCCTCAGCTGTGGGTGACTGGGCTTGGCTTGGAAAATCCTATTCCAGGGCAGGTTGTTATCCCTCTCCCATCCACACAGCCAGACATTCACACAGGTCACATCCTGGTCTCACAACAGTTCAGGCAGAAGGAAGGGATGGAATTGATCATAATGTCAAATCTCTTGAACCGTTACTCCTCTTTATGATAGTTAGAAATATCTACCTCATGGGTTCACACCAAAGACAAAAATGAATCAATAAATGAAGTCCTCCACACTCTGACTGAATCGGGACGTATTACCAGTCTTCAAAGCTCCATTTCTTTTATAAAGTTTCCCATTTTACAGATTAGTAAACTGAAGTTCAGAGAAGTCGCGTGACTACCTAGGCCTCCTAAGTTAGAGGTAGAGCCAGGACTCAAATCCAGGTCTGTCTTTAAATCTCACAGCCTTACCATCTATTCTGAAGAGTCATATCCACCTTGGCATAGGAGACTGGGGGCAGATGAAAAGATATTGGGGGCAACCATTAACCAAGTAGCAAGAATCTATCCCAACAGAGGGCTTCCCACTAAAAGTCAACTGTGTTCATCTGTACTGGGGAAGTAGGAATTCAGTCTGGAGAACAGGGTAAGGTTAGAGCAGGAAAACTTAAGAGTGCTGATCTATAGCTGAATTTTAGCATGAAGCTTGGAGACAGTGTTGTTCACAGGTGGGAGATGGGAGGGGTGAGGAGGAGGGATATTTGGAAGGGGTCTGGAGAACAGGGTAAGGTTAGAGCAGGAAAACTTAAGAGTCCTGATCTATAGCTGAATTTTAGCATGAAGCTTGGAGACAGTGGTGTTCACAGGTGGGAGATGGGAGGGGTGAGGAGGAGGGATATTTGGAAGGAACCAACAATGAACCCTGTCCCAGGGAAAATGTCATCTAAATCTAACCACACACCCTGGAGACAGAGAAAATTTTCTGTTTCTCTGCCTACCTCTTGCAACCCATGCCTCCTGATAACTCATTAGCAGCCTTACTAGGGTAGGGATGCATTCCATGCACACACATTTGTGGGTCTGCTGGAAGCATAACATTTCCATTGTCATCTGAAATGAATTTCATCAGAGACATAAGCTGCAAGCACACACTTGCAATTCAACACAACATGTATATTCTCCAGGTTTCTTTGAGGGGATACTGTTTTGGTGGGCGGGAATAGCAAAATAAGAAGGGTGTCAGGAAGAGATGTGAAAGTCACCCAGAGACAACATGGTGAGTGTGGGGTGCTCAGAGGGCAGCCTGGAAAGTGCTGGGGGTGGGTGAGGACTGGAAAACCTCTTGGAAATGAACTTTGGGACTCCAGCGCTTGACAAGTTGGGAACTGTGTTGTGGTAGAAGCCTGGGGGAAAACCTGCTTACCATTCAATTCTAAATGAACTCACTTTTCAACAGAAGGTTGTTTGCCTTTTTTTTCCTGGCAAGCAGAGTATCCATACCTGTGGTTGATGCCCCCCCCCCCTTCAGAGGTTTAGTGAGAGCTGGTTACCTGGACTCTGGATTATGACCAGAGGTTGTAATTGGGTTTGAATCTGGTTTTCTGTGACTAATGCTAGGATCGTCATTGACTTCTAAATCAGGTCCAAGGAGAATATATTCCTTTCAGCGCTCCTAGAAGGACAGAGAGTTCATGTGTGCAAAGTCCATTGTCTGTCACTGACATGGGGGAGGGGGAACTCTCCATTGAGATGTAGCTATAACTACCTGGACAATAAGCTGGGGAACTCTGGCCTCTAGGAACTCCAGGCAGCAGAGATGTGTTCTAACTGGTGGTTTTCTGGGACACACTTCACAGTTGAGTTGCACAAACACATTGTGTTATGACTTCATCTATAAGGGGGCATTGAATGCTATACTATTGCTAAAGTGAGTGATAAACTTAGGAGAATGAACTCAGAAAAAACTTCTCAGCACATGCTAGTCCATTGGGAAATGGATAAGGAGAAAACATGGTAGAGACCAGAAAGTTTAGCAAGCCAGTCACTTTCTTCTAACATTTTCTCAGTATAATGAAATTCAAAGTTTTCATCTCCAAGAGGTAAAGACACCGTCTTCTGAGGCACAAAGTAAAGGGAAACTCATCTGAGTCACAGGGAACAGTGCCTTCTACAGACCCATGTTTTCTTGACCCCAATTTCAATCCTGGTGGAAAAAATTCCCTGAGGTCGACGACAGCTGAGCTCCTTGCCTGGAATTCACAAGTGGAGAAGGGGAAAATTATACCCTGGGGCTTGGAGGGCGCCTGCCTGGGCAGCTTTCATTCACACAAAGGCTGGTTGGCGGGCCTGCCACCTGTCCACCTCCAGCCCGAGAGCCAGGAAGCATAAGTGAGAGAGGATGTGAGTTCAGGAGACAGCAGGAGACACTGAGAGGAGCCTTCAAGCAGAAAGAGTAAGAGGGCTCTGCATCACCTCCCACCCCTGATCCTGTTTCCCTCTGGGTGACCTTTACTCCCACCTCACCCACCTCTGTCTCTTTTTCTTTTTCTTTTTTTCAAAAATAACCTTCAGGAAAGTCCCCACGTCTAATAAAACTGTTGACCTTTGGAGCTGGTCAAATAGTCATGCCTTGAAGGCGGTTCCCTGGGGTCAGTGTCCCCATCTGGGTTCCCTTAACCCACCTCACCCCCACTGACAGGCTTATATAGGGTAACCCCGTATGCTAAATGCACCACCAGACACCTTTTGCTAAGGTCTTCAAAGAGGTTCAGCTCCGAATCCTGTTCTCCTATTTCCCAGGGAAGTGTTCCGCCCCAACAGACCCCTTACAGTTCCTCCATTCTGGCTGAGACTGCCACTCCCTCTGGCTTGGAAGGGGAAAGTGTCAATCACCTTGTAGGCCTCTCTTTCAGAGCCAGAGGTGCAGAAAAATGGCAGGGCATCCCCACCTCGCTTCTTTTACTTCAGCTTCAAGAGTAGACTTGTCTGATCAAATGCAGGATCCCAGTTAAACAGAAATACTACAAAGACTTCCTTAATAACCAAAATATTGCCTGGGTTGTACTTACACATAGTA